AATGATCAAATTTTAAGTAAATAAAGAATGCTGGGCTGGAGGGATGGCTCAGGGTTAATAGCCCTGTCTGCTCTTCCAGAGGTCCTGAGTTCAATTCCCAGCAACCACATGGCGGCTCACAACCATCTAAAATGAGATCTGGTGCCCTCTTCTGGCATGCAGGTGTATATTCAGGCAGGACACTGTATACATAATGAATAAATAAATCTTTAAAAAAAAAAAAAGTCAAGCATGGTAGTTCATGCCTGCAATCCCAGCAGGAGGTAGAGGCAGAGGGATCTCTGTGATTTCCAGGCCAGCCTGGTCTACAGAGTGAGTTCCAGGACAGTCAAGGCTCAAAAATAAATAAATAGGGGATGGAGCAATGGCTCAGGGGTTAAGAGCACTGACTGCTCCTCAGGAGGACCCGAGTTCAATTCCCAGTACTCACATGGCAGCTCACAACTGTCTGTACCTCTACTTCCAGGGGATCAAACACTCTTACACAGACATATGTGCAGGCAAAACGCCATGGCACATAAAATAAAAATAAACAATTTTTAAAAAGAAATTAAAAAATAAGTAAGAGAGAGAAACTACAATTATTCCATTTGGAACCAAATGAAGATGAAAATATCAGTAGGAACTGAGCTGGCAAAATGGGTGGAAAGGCTTTGAGCAACCTGGTTCTGGAAAGGGAGCCGTTCCTAACAGGTCAAATATTAGCCTCCAAGTTCAATCCTCAGGACAGAAAGAAAGGAAAGAAAGAAAAGAAAAGAAAGAAAGGAAAGGAAAGGAAAAAGGAAGAAAGGAAAGAAAGAAAATGAAAGAAAGAAGGAAGGAAGGAAGGAAGGAAGGAAGGAAGGAAGGAAGGAAGGAAGGCAGGCAGACTGGCTGACAGACTGGATACAAACGGGTTACTAGGTAAAGTGGGCAAGGACTTGATCAGAAATAAGCGGACTAGTGGAGACTGAGGTACAAAGTTCCACTCAGGGGCTGGCTTGACGGGGCACCAGGCAAATGTGACACAGGAACATACCAGCATCCTCTGGTGAGTTGTCAAGACAAGCCAGCGCTCTCATTCTTCGCTGACAACAGCTCTCACTTTCACATGTAGGCTCAGAAGTTTGAGGGACAATAATGGACGGCATCAGTGAAGAGTGCGAACCCCTGAGTCCAGCCAGCTCTTTAACCTCAGGTTTTTGTCGTTTTCACAAGTGACTTTGAACACCTTACTTAACCTTTTCACGTCTCATTTTTCTTCTCTGGGAAAACAACCCTGTGTGTGTGTATGTGTGTGTGTGTGTGTGTGTGTGTGTGTGTGTGTGTGTGTGTGTGTCCAACAGTGACTGGCACACGAAGCACTTCATAAAAAGTTTTGAACTATTACCATCTGTGGCGTTTGGGTAAGAATAGCTCCCACAGGCTCAGAGATTTGAATGCTCAGTCCTTTGGGAATGGCACTACTTAAGAAGGATTAGGAGGTGTGGTCTTGTTGGAGTGGGTGTGGCTTTGCTGGAGGAAGTATGTCACTGGGGGTGGGCTTTGAGGTTTCAAAAGCTCTCTTCCTGCTGCCTGCAGATCCTGATGTGGAACTCATCTTCCTCAGGTCCATGCCTGCCTGCATGCCACCACACTCACCACCATGACAACAACGCACTAAACCTCCGAAACCATAAGCCAGCACCAATGCTTTCCTTTGCAAGAGTTGCTGTGGTCATGGTGTCCCTTTCCAGTCACTAAACACTGACTAAGACACCATCATTGTTTGTAAGCACCATGCAAAACAGTGGCTCTCAACCTGTGGGTCACAGGTCAGATATCCTGAATATCAGCTCTTTATTTACACTAAGATTCATAATAGTAGCGAAATTATAGCTATAAAGTAGCAACAAAATAATTTTACGGTTGGGGGGGGGGGTCATCACCACATGAGGAAATGTATTAAAGGGTCAAAGCATTAGGAAGGTTGAGAAACACTGGTGTAGAAAAAAAAAAAAGTGTCTTCTCGTAGGGTCCTATAGAAAGTAACACTGAAGGGACATCAACCTGGATGCAGTCACTGAATGGAATATCTCAATCCCCATGGCTGTGAAGACTGGCTCGGAAATCTGTGTCCACCTTGCTAGGTATGACTACTTTCAAAGGCCTATCTATCCCTGTCTGTCTGTCTCAGTCTCTCTCTCTTCCCCTCTCTCTCTCTCTCTCTCTCTCTCTCTCTCTCACGCACACACGCACACACACCCCACTGGGGATTTTCAGCCACTCAGGTGGGAAATTTCAGCGGACCTTCTGGTCGGGGGACCTCAGGAAGAAGTCTGACCCTGCTTAGGAATTCTAGGCCTCAGAACTATTGTGATAGACCTACCCACACCAGACTTTCTCAGTGGTGTTTTCATGCCGAGCAACCACCCGCTCAGGGCTGAAGGATTGTCTGAGAGGCCCTGGCTTCCTGAATTGATGTAGTCCTGCAGAGAACAACCTGGTCCCTTGTTCTGTTTCTCACCAGCCCATGCACGCTCCCTACCCTTCCACAGACTGCAGAGAACTGCCTCGGGCCCTTCCTACGATTCCTACTGAGCCACCACTTATGCATCTGCTAGCACTTAGCAACCAGGAGCCTTAATTAAAAGGAAATGGGGGGGGGGGGGTAGGGGAGACAGTGACTAGGAAGTGGAACTGTATCTCCAACCCTTATTAAACTCTTCCTTTCCTCATTTGACTTCCTTTAATGTATCCTAATTTCTTTCAGGTGCTGGGCTGTCCTTCCCCACAGAAGAAACAACAACAAAAACAAACAGTTATGAAGCACTGTCTTTGGGCCCTTCTTAGCCTCATCTCTCAACTCTTAGCATTTAGGCAGCCTGCTTCTGGGTTGCCTAGTAACCTATGATGTCATCATGTATCTCCGGCCAGGTAGCCACACCTGGCAGGCGTGGTTATGTTGCTCCTTAAAAGGACCAACCAGCCACTTTGACTCTTTAGGCTCTTGCCCTCTCCTCTCTTGCCCTCTCTATTTTCTCTGTTGGACACCCCCTGTCTTTCCCCTATCATGTCTTGCTCTCTCCTTCTCTCTCTCTTCATCTCCACCTAATACACCTCTTTCATATAAAATCTGCTGTGCGCATCATCATCATCATCATCGTCTATTTGGTCCTAACATCAACAATCCTGTAATACAGAGGAAAAGATCCATTCTGATGGGGATGATGAGCCCACAGTCAGAAAGGGAGGTGACAAGTCTCCCCAAGCCAGCTTGGGGTGGGGGAGTGGTAGCAGAGCACACCATTGATTCCAGCATTTAGAAGGCAGAGGCAGGCAGATCTCTGAGTTTGAGACCAGTCTGGTCTATATAGGGAGTTCTAAGAGCCAGGGCTACATCAAGAGACACTGTCTCAAAAACAAACATCTATCTTGCCCACTTGTCCAAGAAAAGGAAGGAAGGAAGGAAGGGAGGGAGGGAGGGAGGGAGGGAGGGAGGGAGGGAGGGAGGGAGGGAGGAAGGAAGGAAGAAAGAAAGAAAGAAAGAAAGAAAGAAAGAAAGAAAGAAAGAAAGAAAGAAAGAAAGAAAGAAAGATAGATGTCTTGCCCACAGCTTGTAGGTGGTAAAGCCAGGAATCAAAAAGGAGCCTACACCTCAAAACTCAAGCTCGAAAGAATCAGCTATCTTTCCCATCTGCCTGTACTTGGGCTTTCCTAGCATGTATGCTGAACTAGAACAATGGCAATGAAAACCCAGCCTACTACGGTCTCTGACTCTGAGTGGACACTGCATCTTCCCTCCTTGCACTTCACCCTGAAAAGTTTTTACCCCTGAAGGTAAAAACAAGACCAGAAAGGTGAGAATGACACATTTTAGGAAGATGCTACAAAAATCTACAATGGAGCCAGGTGTGGTAGCACACACCTTTGATCTCAGAACTCGAGGAGGCAGAGGTTGGCGAATCTCTGTGAGTTTGAGGCCAACCTGGTATACAAAGCGAGTCCAGGACAGCCAAGGATACATAGGAAATCCCTGTCACAAAAATGCATTTATACAGTAATGAATTTTTCCAGTCAGGTGTGTTTTCTTATTTTCTACGGTGCTTTTTAAATTATAGAAGCAAAAACAAGTTCATAACAAACGGTAGCAAAGTTCACAAAATGAGAGCAAAAGAAGGTTTCTCTGGCATGTTCCAATGCCCTGAGTCTCTCTGAGTCTAAGGGACTTTTTTTTTTTCTCCTCTTCTGTGGTGCTAAGGAATCAAAAACCAGGCTTCATGTGTGTAGGACAAGCACTCTACCGCTGACCTATACTCACAGCTATAAGCTTTTCTGAGAATATATTAACACAGTCTGTGTGCGCTCGCGCGCGTGCGTGTACACACTCGTGCATGCACCAGGTGTGGTGTGCCCATTTGTAATAACCATACATAAGAGGTTGAGGAAAAAAAAAAAAGAGGTTGAGGCAAGAAGATGGGTTCACGGCCAGCCTGGACTTCATAGCAAGGCTCTTTCTCAAATACAAAACAAACAAACACTAACTCACAGAATATTTATTTCTGTGTTGCTATAAAATTTTGTTTTTTGAAATCAGAATCTTATTTTGGAAAATTTTGTTTTGGTTTTGGAGTTTGCCAAAACTGGAGACCAAATCCAGGACCACGCTCGTTCTAGGCAGACTCTGTACAGCCTTGCCATATCCACAGTATTAAAACTTCTCATTTGTGGCTGGACAGACGGCTCAGCGGTTAAGAGCACTGTCTGCTCTTCTAGAGGATTCTGGGTTCAATTCCCAGCACCCACAAAGCTACTGACAACTGCCTGTAACTCTGTTTCCGAAGGACCTGATGCCCTCAGACAGACAGACGTGCAAGCAAAACACCAATGCACAGAAAATTAAAAGGATCTTTAAAACACACTTCTCATTTTGCTCAACCTTGCATTTATTTCCATATCTCCACATCAGTCTGCCGAGAACCATATGTCTTTTAAATTAACACAAGCAACTGTGTTATATGCATGGATTGAGATCTACTTACCCAGTTTCCTGTGAAGAACATTTGCTTCATGGTCATGGACAATGTTAAGAATCGCTAAAGGCAGCCTATGCAGAAAAAGAGAAAGTATTTGTCACTTGTACCTGGTCAATGGTTAATTTCCAAACATGTAAGGAACTTTAACATTACAATAACACCAACAACAAGAAAGTAACAACCCAATTTAACAGCAGACATTTCTCCAACGAAGAATAGCCTATATTCTATATTCTTTAATAGCAATAGCCAACAGCTACATGAAAAAATGTTTGGCCAGGTGGGTGCTGTGGCATACACCTTCAACCCCAGCACTTGGGAGGTGGAGGCAAGAGGAACCCAAATTTGAGAGCAGCTTGGGATACACATAAAGACTTTGTCAGAATGAGGAGAGGGAGGGGAAGATAGGAGAAGGAGAAGGAGGAGGAGGAGGAGGAGGAGGAGGAGGAGGAGGAGGAGGAGGAG